ACTATATATGTGATTGTGTGTTTATACACACACACACACACACACACACTCACACCAATATCTCCAATACAGCACAATAAAATAATAACATTAGATATTATCACAAAAATACATCCAATAAACTTATTATTAAACTATTATTAAATTAAGCTAGACATCGACTAAAAAAGGAATAGTCAAATTTCAAAAAATGCCTGAGGCTTTCAGAAGGTTTTTAGCCCTGCAAAAAAGAGCTACTATATTTGTTAAGGTGCTGGACTCTCTGGCTCTTTTTAAAAGAATAAAAAAAAAAAAATAGGAAAGCAGACAGAGAGGTTGAATTTTTTGTGTGTAACACACAGCCCTGAGATACAAATAAATAATCTGGTATTTCCACCTTCATACTGGTTGGAAAATTATTTCAAGGCAAGATAGTGGCCTAAAGATTGAAATTACAGAAGAAGCTCTCTGAATCCAGCAAGATTTCTTCTTCTCTGTATAAAAAGAGAAGATGGGAAGGGAGATCCAGAAGAAAGAGGACGAGTTAGGGATGACGGAGGAGGAAGAGGAAGAGGAGGAGGAGGAGGAGGAGGAGAGGGATCAGGCCAGGGTGGGCAGTTTAGCATCACGTCTGCTTGTGACGACAATGTCCCAAAGCTTGTGCAGCATGGCTGATGACTTTTGTGTATTTCCGGAGTATCTGGCAACCTTTCTGTTTTTTCTCAAAGCTGTCGGTGCTGGAATGGTTGCCGTAGGTCACATCCACGTGGTTGACTTTGTACTTGGAGCAGAGCAGGCACGTGAGATTGGACAGGAGGCCCCCCGTGTTGTTGGTGGTATTTCTGAGTCGCCGTAGCAAGTCTTCTTTGGACTCGACGTCGCCGAGGCTTTCTTGGTCTTTGGTGATATTGTCCAAGGAGGCATTGAAAAAGACAAAGATCTGGTAGAGGTTGATCACCCTCTCCTTGTCACTGAGTGAGCTGACGAAAGGAGGAAACGCCTGGTCAGGCTCACAAAACTCATCCAACTTCTTCTCCTCGGTGAAAGGGTAACCTTGGCTTCTTACCTGCCCCAGAGAAACAAGAGAACCAAATTTAGGGGCATAAACATTCATTTCAGAAGACAAAGCAAAAGAGCCTTCCTTTTACGCCAGAAGTGTCCAATCAGGGCCACTTTAAGACCTGTGGACTTCAACTCCCAGAATTCCCCAGTCAGCGTGATCTTAAAATGGCCACGGTTGGACAACCCCTCCCCCAACATTTACATCCATGTTTGGAGAGTGAAACATGTTGAGAAAGTTCAAAATCCACATGCTACTTTCACACACACACCCCAAAAGAAAAGAAAAGCAGTGACTTCCAATTCCCTTTGGTGCCGTAGAAGAAGGTAATAACCTACAAGAGAGTCATTGAGGCGACTTGGAGGTTTATCTGTGTCCTCAGGGTCGCCTGAGTAGTGCAAATGGGGGTGGGAGCCCTTCAGCAGTTCCAAGAAGACTCCACACCCATTTGCACTCAGGCAACTCTTAGGACACAGATAAACCTTCAGGTGGCCTCAACGACCCTCTAAAAGGATGCAAATGACCAGCTGTCTGCAAGGAACATAAATCTTTCTGTTCCCCACCATCCAGTCGGAGCTTCTTGGATGACATGTGAAATGTCTTGAAATTAAAAACAAGAAAGTCCAGTTCCCTCCTGAAAAAAAGCACCATCGACTTTTGAGGTCCATTGTGGGACTCAGAGTATCTATCCTTCCATTTCGGTGGACAAAATGGCATAAATTTACAACTACCATTCCGGTTAGAGTGGTAAGTCAAGGTCTACTTGTACTTAACAGATAACACATAAACAGAGTTGGAAGGGACCTTGTACGTCATCTAGTCCAACCTGTGCCCAACACCATTTCTGACAGATGGGAGTCCAATCTCTTCTTGAAAGTCTCAAGTGATGACGCTCCCACAACTTCCAAGGGCCAGCTGTTCCACGGGTTGATTGTTCTCACTATCAGAAAGTTTCTCCTTATTTCCAGGTTAAATCTCTCCTTGTTCAGTTTCCATCCATTATTCCTTGTCTGGCCTTCGGGTGCCTTGGAAAATAGCTTGACCCCCTCCTCCTCTCTGGGGCAGCCCCTCAAATATTGGAAGGCTGCTCTCCTGTCTCCCCTGGTCCTTCTCTTCCCTAGACTAGCCAGGCCCAGTTCCTGCAACCGTTCATCGCATGTTTTAGTCTCCAGTCCCCTAATCCTCCTGGTTGCTCTTCTCTGCACTCTTCCTAGAGTCTCAACTTCCTTTTTATAGCGTGTTGACCAAAACTGGATGCAGTACTCTAGGTGTGGCCGTACTAAGGATAACTACTTAGGATAGCAATGGAGATCACTTACATAACTCTCAAATAACACTGGAGCTGACATGTTCAGATGTGACACCAGGCACCGGACTTGATCAAAGACAGGATGCTTGCAAGGCCAAACGTCGTGACACATTGAATTGTTGCTGTTTTGGTGCACAGGTCTCCCAGATGAGAGTCTGCAGTGTGCGATCAGCAGCACGAAGATAACTCCTGTTTTGGAAAACAAAGCAGAGGTGGTGAATTTTAGTAAGAAAATAATAATAAAATAAAAAGCAGGTGAACCTCACAAGCTTTATCTCACTTCATTCTCATTTTCCCCACCTTGATTTTGCCACCGTTTTCGATTTTGTTTGCCTTTGCATTTTTTTTTACTTGTCACATACTTTGTAGAACTGTCAGTACATACAGTTCTAAAGTGAAACCAAATTTTTTTAGTCAGCAAAACTGCCTAGCTAAGGCAGACAGAGAAGCAGCAGCTTTGAACCACAGTTTTCTCCATTGCGCAAAAAAACTGTATGTCAGACATTAATACAATTGAGTGAGTCCAGAAGTATTTCACGAGAAGAGTACTTACACTCCTCTGCTTGCAACAGAATACCCTACACCACCAAGCTTGAGATTTTGGGCTTGGACAACCTTGAACTACGCTGCCTACTTAAGACTTAAGCGTAGTACACAAAATTATCCACTCTAATGGCCTACTAGTCAATGACTACTTCAGCTTCAACCGCAACAATACAAGAGCACACAACAGATACAAACTCAATGTAAACCACTCCAAACTTGATTGCAGGAAGTACGACTTCAGCAACAGAAATGCACTACCTGACTCTGTTGTTATATCCTCAAACCCCACTCCTTTAACCTCAAACTATCCACTATTGATCTCACCCCTTTCCAAAGAGGTCTGTAAGGGGCGTGCATAAGTGCAGAATCATGCCTACTATTCCTGTCCTATTGTCCCCATTTATTCGTACCTATTTCCTGTATTCTTACTCACCTATTATCTTGTAAGCTATTGACAAATCAAATAAATAAATAAACAATATGGAGCACGTATATGTCATCACAATCCTAAAATGGCCCAGTCATGTGACCAATTCAATTCCACCTTTCTTTTTTACCATGGTCATTAAGTGAACACGATGGTTGTAAAGCAAACCCCGCAATAAACGCAACCCTACTGCCAAACACCCAATGTTCATTGATGGAAGCAGCCCGACCGTTGGCATTTTGAACCTAGGTCTTAAGTCCCCCTTTTTTTTTTGGAGATTTGGTCATAACTTTTGCTAAGTTGCTAAGTGCACAGTCATAAATCAAGGACTGCCTCTACCCAATTGCCGACTATCCCTCCCTTTCCACTTGCATTTATCAGCCACTCTGCAAGTACGCAACCAGGCTGAATTAAGACTGAAATGCATTGCTATTAAGGATATGCTGGTTTTGATCCTATGACACCTTTCGTGGGCACGCGTTTTGGCTTGGATCTGATTCAGGATACAAAACTACACAATTACAGAGTTGGAAGAGAGACCTTGAAGGTCTTCTAGTCCACCCCCCCCCCCACACACACACCCCGCCCTGCTGAAGCCAGAGACCCTATGCCATTTCAGACAAATGTCTGTCCAATTTCTTCTTGAAAACCTCTGTTGATGGAGCAATCACAACTTCTGGAGTGAAGCCTGATCAATTGTTGATTAACTCATTAACAGTTAAACACGTCAACCCTGACAAAACCAGTGAATTGTTCTCACTGTCAGGAAATGTCTCCTTAATTCTAGATTGGAATCTCCCTCTGACTAGCTTCCACCAATTAATTCTTGTCTTCCCTCTGGTGCTGTGGACAGCAAGTCAGTCTCCTATTCTTTGTACCAGTCCTTCAACTTGGCTCAAATATAGAACATAGAATAAAAGAGTTATTAGAATCAAAACCTTTGATTCTAGAACAGAGTTGGAAGGGACCTTGGAGGTCTTCTAGTCTAGCCAACCTCCCCTCGTTCCAGCAGGACAAATAGCTATCCTGTCTCTTCTTAAAAGCCTCCAGGGATAGACCTCCCACATTCTACTCAGACCTGCAGTTCAAATTCGTGTCGAAACAGCTGAGACAGCTCTAAGCATCACATCACTGATTTAATGCATCCAATCGTTTTGACAGACCACCACCAACAAATCAAAGAGGAGATTTAATCGGTTTGCCCTGGAAAAACCACCTCCTAATGGACACTTAGCACAGCTCTAGCCTCCAGCAACCCAGAAAGATGACGAAAAAAAAACAGAGATGGAAGAAGTCCGGAAGAAGAGGAGGTGTCAAAAGAAAAAAAGCAAGATTTATAGAGGACGAAAGAGAAGAGGAAAGAGGCCCCAGCACAGGAAATCTAGCAGAATCCTCAGCCTGGGCACGTCCACGTCAAAAACAGGCACACCTCTTTGGAGAAGAAGAATTGCACAAGACCCAAGGAATTCCGAACACTCAGAGTTGTGATCTAGAGGGGAAAAAAACACACACACAAAAGACTGGGAGAAAGGTTGCGTGGTGATGAAACCCAGGAGCTGGAAACTGCAGCCCAGCAAACGTTACATCACACAGCGCAATTTGGTTGCTTTGCTAAGGCTGCAAATACAAGGAGGGGAACGCAAAGCTGATAGAGCTGGCTGTTTAGTTTGGATCTTAAGGCAAAAATCGAGGGAGGAGCCTTCCCTGGACCCTCAGTCTGCTGAGAGGATGGCCATCGTTCACATTTTGACCATTAAACTTTGAAGTACAGCCCTCCGCTTGGTTCGGAAAGACCTGCTGGCATTGGCTAAAGCGCACAGGCCTGTTCTGTAAAAATAGATACCAAAGTATGCTCCTTCAATTAAAGTTGGCTTCTTTCGTAGCATTTGAAACTCCCCTCCCTCTTTTTTTAATGACCCTGTAATCCCTTAATTCATGGTAGATTTGGGGTGACTGGATGAAACTGAGAATTGACTGGCCAGATGCCCTTCCTGAATCCTACACGGAGTTCACAGCAGATATTTTCTCTTTGCGCCTTTTCTTTCACTTCTTTCATAGCATCGTAGCTAGCAAAATTAGGGAAGCATATAAATCCAATTAATAAATAAAGACCCTAGAGTTGGAAGAGGTCATCAAGTCCAACCTCCTGCTCTAGATGATGATCCAGCTCTGTCCACAACTTCCAGTGAAAGGAAAGGAAGCCGTGACATATTCTACTAGTCGACGGCTCCTAGTAGCCAGCAGTTCTTCCTGACGTCTAATCTGGGTTTGCATCCTTGAGGTTTCATCCCGTTGTTGGTTCCTAGAGTCAAGAAGAAGAAGGCCTGCCCCAAAGCCACCCAACTGGCTTTCTCCTTAAAGGTAACACTTGAACTCCCAACCCTTTCCGATTCTAACCTCTGATGCCTCTACACCAGACCGGCCCTCACCACATCCTTAGTTCTCCCTCCGTTTTCTTTGAAAAGCAACACTTGGTTTAGAAAAACAGCTCTTTGAACAGGGAACGAGGTATTTTCCAGCCAATCAGGAATAGATGAAAATAAAATATAAAACAAAACCTTTGGATTAAATGCCCACGTTTAGCAAAACCAGGTTTGTCCTCATCCGGGGATAAGACAAATAATGTGAAAGTTTGAAATTGGTTAATTCCAGCAGTATACCTTGACAGTGGGTCAACGGCAATCTTAAAACAAAAGTCAAAATTTGGGAAAAAAAATTGGATTC